GTTAATTAAACACAAGCTCATAATAGATGGAGTCAAGCTGAACATGACTTCTATCAATAGCTTGACTAAACCATAGTCTTTCAAACGACTGAGTACCAAATGACTTACTATTTCTCAACTCGAGTTGTAAAATCCTGTCTGAATTGTAAAAGGTAACAATCAACTGCTTTATGGAGTTTTATCCTAAGGTGCAATATCCAAATGCTGAAGATGATAAAGAACAAGGCTGTCAACAGGAGAGAAATACTGCTACAGCTGTTTCAGGACCAGCTTCAGTCTAGTGGCAACTAGTTTGCCTTTCAAATTTTTGCTGTTAAAGGCACTTTAATTCTCTACTGACAATACTAGATTACCAAACTCTCCATCATTTCCCTCACAAACCAAAAAAATCTTCTTCTAAATCAACAGGCTCATTTTTTACAGCACATCCTACTAACATTAGATGATCAGATTCTCAAAGTTTTTTCCTATATCACTCCAAAACAGAGATTTAGCAACTGAGACGCAGAAGTCAACGTTGAAATGTAATAATCCTCAAACCTCAAAACAAACTTAGTAATACTTGCAAAGCCGTGGTGTCAAAATGCAGCATCCACATTAAGCCATTGAAGCCAATGCTAAGACAATCCCTAACACGGTAAAACATTCCGCCTCAATACACTCGACCAGAAAAAGGGTTTCAGGTGAAGTAATTAAAACCAACACTCATATCAAATTAGCCAAATTGGTTATGCTAAAGAAGCAATTTTGGCATCTGGGTTCTGCTTAAATTCTCAATTCAAACACAAAAAAATGAGCAAATTCAGATAAATTCATGTAAGATTAAGCAAGAATTTCAACTAAAGAAAGAGGGCTTTACGAAATAATACTTGGCAGAGGCGAGCAGCAAGAGAACAAGCTTTCTTGGCAGCAGCAAGTTCTTTATCATAAGACATTGTTGCAGCAGCTCTAGATGAAAATCTTGGCCTTTTTAGGGAAAGGGAGAAAATGGGTTTTAATTTGGGTGTTGAGGAATAGTAGCAGTTACGGTCGAAATGCAGAACTCTAGTCAATGGGTTTATAGTCCCTTTCCCTGATAATGCTGCTGATGATAGTGCAATGGCCATGGCTCTTCCAAACAACAAATTTGTTAAGAAAATGTAGCCAGGTACACCACGCAAGAATCCGACGAAATTAACGGTAGTTTTTTTTCCCTTTTTTCCCCTCCTCTTTTGTTCAACTAAAACTGTAAAAAAGAAATTATACAAAAGAGGTGTAATTTTACAAGTTACAGACGTATTTGCAAAAAAAAAAGTCGTAATTTCTAGAATCTCAATTTTAGCCATTACACCAAAATCCGGTGGGTTTGTTGAGGTTTGTTGTAGATTTTGTAAATGTTTATTATAAAAGGTAATTATAGAGAAGAATAATAATCAACTAGAGCTACTATTGGGTAAATTTTATATTTTAATTTAATTTTTTTGCTTATTAAAAAAGTCTAGGATCTAAATATGAAGGCGGTTCAAAATGTTAAAAAAATTGATTATCGAAAATCAGAATTTAAAAATTAGAAAACATAATTAACAGAGAACAAAATCTATATATTTAAAGATTAATTTTTTATGCACTTTTGGATAGAGTAGTGTTATTTGAAATATTATTTGGAATAACTACTTTAGCACTTTTTGTGATGTGATGTATGTGAGATAAAAAAGTAGTTGAGAATATAAAAAAGTGAGTTGAAAAATGTGTTCATGATGCAAACCAAATATTATTTGAAATGATATTGGTATCCAAACAAACCAAATGTATAATACTATCAAGTTAGATGCGTGATAACCAATTTCACGCATCCAATTAGTCTACAGAAATTTAATCCTATGGCATGCATCTAAACTAGTTAGGGTACTAAAAAATAGAGAATTAACTTATTATACACTATTAATGTAAGAATTAACTTGTTATACACTTTTATACACTATTAATGTAAGAATTAACTTGTTATATACTATTAATGTAAGAATTTTAGTACCCTAACTAGTTTAGATGTATGCCAAATAATAAAATTATAAATTTAAAAGTCACTTTATGCACACATAGCATGCTGCTAAATTTACTATTAGTGGCAAAAACTCTCTAACGGTAACGGTGTAAAGAAATTTTATCCTTAAATAACTATTATGCAAAAACTATTATGCACGGTTAGCACGCTAACGGTGTAAAGAAATTTTATCCTTAAATAAAACATTCCATAGTAATACAAATTTAAAAGTCACTTTTTGCACACATAACATGCATCTAACCTATTATCGGTGTCAAAATCTCTCTAAGTTAATGGTGTAAAGAAATTTTATCCTTAAATAAAACATTATATAACTTATCTCAAGTTTTCATCTAAATTTGGTAAAAAAAAAAAAACTAAAATCTCATTTGTATAAGCGTTTGTAAATTGAAAATCTCTGTACAAGTGTAAGGTTTATTATAAGGAAAATAAAAATGCTGGTTCAATTACAGCGCAATACATCTTCTGCCCCACATTTTGTCTAGGAATGGCCATGGGTTGAGGGTACGGGGGACCCCTCCCTTTTTCCCTGTCGTGATGTCCACTAGTCCCCCCGTCCCACAACCACCCCACCCTATCTCGCGGGAACTAATAAAAATTTGTCCAATAATTATATTATAGCTAAATTTTAGTTAAGAATTAAGTACTTAAATACTAACTCATCACCAAGTCATTATTTACTTAAATTTCACAATTGAAAAGTTATTTGAATACAATTCAACATGAATGGACAAATATAACTACAACAGTCAAGTTTTCACTTTTGAGATAAATAAAGTCACCCGCCCATTATTGTGTTCTTTTTTTTAGATAAAAAAAGTGTTATTGTGTTAAGTGTAATTAGGAATTTAGTATAAATGTATTAGTAAATTTAGCATAACTAATTAATAATTTCTATTAGTAGACATGTATAATTATTAGTATAATTAATAATATTAATTATATTATATATAATAATATACATTATATAATACTTGTAATTAATAATATCATTATTATAAATTTGTAACTAATTAAATTATATATATATTCACACTTTAACGGGGGCGGGACGGGGGATGGGGGAGTCTATTTTTTAACAGTAATAATATTAATTATATTATATATATAATAATATACATTATATAATACTTGTAATTAATAATATCATTATTATAAATTTGTAACTAATTAAATTATATATATATTCACACTTTAACGGTGGCGGGACGGGAGATGGGGCGAGGGTATATTCCGGTACCCCCTGTCCTATTTTTTAACAGGGAGATAATTTACCCGCCCCCGCCCCATTAACCTCCCGCGGGCACTCGTCCCAATTGCCATCTCTAATTTTGTCTCACTTCCTATTCCATTTCAAATATTGCCATATGTCCCTTAATAAAACAAATCCCAAAGCAGTTCAGACCATGCTAAGTTAACGGATTAATTGGGTACTTGTAAGAGATTGGGCCTCATTTATATAAAAGTCATGAATTGTATGAGAGTTATTTGTCTTACTCGTTACAGAGGCACTTAATGGAAGAGATCAAGATAATATATTTTTTCTTGAAAAATGTTATTTGTACTTCATTTTTTTATTATTTACATTTCCACTATTTGTTTTATTATATACTCTAATAAATGAAAACTATATGATTAAACTTATCGTTGGAGTGTGATTAATAAAAATAAGAGTGTAAACAACATTTTGCTTTTTTTGGGTCAAAACAACAGCATTTCATTTACTTTTAGAAATAGTTACAAGGCTGATAGAGCAACTGGTCTTCTAGATTTGAGTAATCTCAAGCATCCAAACTGGAAAGTTTCCACTCCACTTTTTTACACTAGCATTTTGACCCGTGCATGCACAGGTTTATATTTCAATTCAAAACTATGATATATATTTATATATTGTAGTACAAGATAAAGTGTATGAAAAAGGTTTAAAAATTATACTAAATTTATAATATAGATTAAAATTTATAGCCGTATATTATATATTTTCAATTCATTTTCCTCCTCAATGGTATAATTTATGTCTTTTATATTATAAATTTTGATATATGGGTATAAATTTTAATCTATATTATTGACGAGTTTCAAATATGCACTCAAATTTAATTTCAAATACTCCCATTTATTTGCAAGTGTACAGGCCGTGATAATAGTTTAGGGAGTACAAGGGTCGATCCCACAAAGAGCTTAAATTTCAATTACGAGGACCTTACTTATTCTAATATTTAGACAATAATCAAATTTAGCAATAAAAAGCAATTATATCAAACAAACTAAAATTGTAAACTAAACTTGAAGATGAAAATCCTAGAGGAAAGATTACTAAATACAAAGTTCTAGGGTATAGATTCCACTAATGATCAAGAATATAAGTAAAATGATCATTCTCTTATTATTAACTCGTCTTGTTAGCAATGCATTTCCAAGGTTAATCAAGACTCACTCTCATGATGAATTGATCAATACTAACATTACACTTCCCTTTAAGTATATCACTACTCTCATGTGTCTATTTTTGTGACCTTCAAGCACTTTGAAAACATCAGAGTTAGTATTTGTTTGTATTTTAAAAGCATTGCAGCTGTTATATTTTGTCCCATCAGAGTTAAATATGTTTTTTGACTTTGTTTTCCACCTTTGATTAATGTAGTTATAATATTGTAAAATGGTAGGGAGACAAAAAGGCAATGTTGAAAAGAAATTATTTTCTCTCTCCTTAAATGAGTACTTTAATAATACATTTTAAATTGGGTTACAATGTTACAAAAATTTGAAAATAAGGGGAACAAGTGATTTTTTTTTTTTAAAAAAAAAACTTCAGGAATGCTGAATGACACCATCACAAACCTTCCTGACATTTCATTTCTCAAGTTATTCCTACTTAGAAATACCCAGACTAGGGAATCTTAACCATATATCATGCCCGTGAAAGGAGTCACCAAACAAAAAATGATCCAACTAGAAGTGTGAGACCATACAAAGCCAAAAGATTATTTTGCCATGGAATACTTTTGTGGAGAACATACAACTTGTATCCATAGAACAGCTTCAATATGTCGTGGAAGATGCACAAATGCTATCTAAACAAGTGTCCAACATCTCAAGAAAAAAAAAAAAAATTTATCCCAAGAAATCGCTGAACAAGGTAAAAGGTGGGAGTATATCACTAGTTCAAAAAATAAATGTGTTTGATTATTCAAGCAGTGGTAGTCGCATGTCCTTCATCTGTTGAATCATCATATTCGTCTAGCAATGGAGCATTTCTGCTGGCAGATTCCCTAAAAATAGTACCACTTTGTGATTTGTCTCCACTTGCTTCTTGTGCTTTTGCCCATATTAGAACATAAAACCCAATCGATATGATCAATGATCCGATCACGCTGCAAATTAGCAAAACATCTGATATAAATGCTCTTCTATATATAAGAAGGAAGTGTACATATATATATGAGTAAATCTTATATACACTGAAAGTGTATACACTATCACCGTTAAATTCATGATATTTGTGTAAAAGTTGAATTTCAAAGGGATTGAGGAAGGTGGGTTAGGGTTCTGTATATTTCTAAATGGTTGATGCATATTTCTATACATTTGCCGTTCTCACAATTGAGAATTAGACAAATATTGATAGGAGTGTATATCTAAACGTGTTTGAAAAAAAAAAAGTACAAAAGTTGCACGACAGCACCAAAATCTAAAATCATGAGCATGTGAGATGTACCTTCCGAGGTAGAGATTATCGCCAAGAAAAATGAAGCCCAGAATTGCAGCAATGGCAATTGATAATGGCCTAAATGAAGCTACATATACAGGTCCTTTTACATGTAAGCACCAAGTATGAACAAGAATAACGAAGCCTGTCCCCAATACTCCCTAAGCCAAAAAGAAAAAAGAAAAAATTTCAGTGCATCGATTCGATATGATTTCCATTCCAACTAGCTGTATGAGCAGTAAGTAGCAGATATAAGTAGCCTGGGAGATAGATTTCTATTTTGAAATTCTAGCAGTAACTCAAAAAAAATTAGGTTTATGTGCTCACCGCATACAAAACCGCGTACAACTGCACATCCAGTTTGAATATATTCCAAGCACTTGAAATTGGTACCTCGATTAAACAAATGGGTGCTGCTATGATCATACATGATAAGTTGTAGAAGAAGACCACAACCAGTTCTGCTGGGTACTCCCCAATAGCCTTGGCCTGAAAGTGGTGGACTCAAGACCCCAAGATTAGTAGGTGAATGCTCTAATTGCACTACACAAAGGCTATAATTTTTTTAATAAAACAAGTTGCTCTATGAAAAAACAATAGCCAGCCAGCATGATGATTGCATCAATTTTACAAAATTGTAAAGAGTTTTAAGACAATAACAATATCAGAAACAACTGCACCATAAGTCTTTTCTTTACGATAGAGCAATCTGGTACAAAAAAATGAGAGTTCCAAATGAATATTATGCTTTCATTCTCATGTAATTCTTATTTCGTGTCGAAATTCTTATTTTTTCGAAAAGTGGGAGATAATAGCAAAGGCTTCAAGAATATAACGGGGCAATGTGAAGAGAAAAAAAAAAAGATTCTATCGAAATTCAAGGGGGTGCAATAGTAGGACAAATTTAATAAATTTTAAAATTGAAAAGGACAATTTTGGCTTTTAACATGTTACCTGATAAATATACCAAAGGGAGGCTACTACATATTCAGCAGCGAGGATGGCACCCCCTTTGACCCAATTTGACTGTTTGGTGCCAGTGGTGAGTGTAACTAGTGCTGCCTGTGCAAAAACAGAAGCTGAAGATGCAGGGCTCCTTAGTAGCACTGGGCCTTTGTACAGAACCACCACAAGGGCTCCTGCAATCGTTATTGCACACCCTATTATCTTAACTTGGCTACTCAGGCTCTTCATTTCTAGCTTTTCCATCCTGATCATGACAAGAAATATCAATTGGCCCAAGTATTCCCTCATTATTTTGAAAAAACAAAGGCAACCATTGAAAGCAAATAAAAGTGGGGAAATAATTTTTAGTATTTACATTTAGATAGCAAATTAGTTGAATTAACAATGATTAGAAAAACTCATGCTGGAACAATCATTTATGACTTTAGTGTCGAAAATCCATTATTACATCTCGCTTGCTCCAAAACAAGCATGAAGAGTAGCGAAAATGGCTAATCACTTTAGAAAGAAAAGCAAAATAGGACCTGAAGAGGACGGCCAGGACAAATGTGGAAGCCGGTGCAATATTGCTCATGGCGGAAGCCAATGTTGGTGTACTATACTCGATTCCTGTATTTCCAAGATATTGAGCTACAAAGCTAAAATTACATTTCAAAACAAAAGTCTGATAAGCTCCTTTAGAACAAACATTTAAACAAATTACTAGGGTTCATATCAGAAAGCATTACACACACATAAAGCATTGTGTGTGTGTAATGCTTTCTGATATGAACCCTGATATATAGACACAAACACACAGACCCAAGAAGCCCGAGGGAGAAAAATCTAGCAAGGAGGCCAAAGGTAAATGGAGGAAGCCGAGAATTCCTGTTAACATTAAGAAATAAGAAAAGAATGGATAAGTTACTACTTGCTAGTTTGATTATTACAGGGAGAGGAGAATTATGAAGGCTTGTGATTTAGGATTGTAGATTACCTGTGGAAGAAGTAGCAAAGAGGGAGGAGAAGAAGAGCTGCTATCCCATAGGAATAAAGCATGAAAACGTGATAGTTCAGACCCTTCACTGTGGCCGCTTTGAAGATGGTGTTCATACCAACATTGATGCACTCCATTGTAACCATGGCTGTGAAAGGAAAAACCTCTCCATACCAACAAGTTCGTTTCCAGCTCCCCATCTTCCGTTCTTTCCTTCTTTGGATGCAAATGTATATTACCACTCCTATTTATGCTTTTAAGTTTTAGTGGTTCATGCACTAGAGGCCATTATTCTAATTGGTTATATATGAATTTTTGTTTTTAGAAGAAGAGATGCATGCATCCAATTCTATCAAGCCTTTGTCACACCCAAAACCAATCAAAATTAGTGTTGAACAGATTAGCTGGGGAAAAAAGCTCATAGATCCCCAAAAAAAAAAAACAGCCTACAAGATTCGATTAGATCAGAACTAATTCACACTACTTTAATGCTGAAAATAATGTCATAGGATCATCTTGCAATCTTGTAGAATAGGGTACATTTGAATATGGTACATTTAGTAAATATGGTACATGAATCAAGTGCAATTTTTATTTTGGTTCAAATGAACATATAGTATATACAAGGATGGAATTAAGAATAGGTTAATGTTGCACCCCATTTTTTAACTAAACATGAAAATAAAAATAAATCTAATAACCTAATTTGAAAATGATTTTTTTGTGGACTTTTTCAAAAATAAAACTATAGAAAAAGAAAAGGTAGGTAAAGAAAAGGAACTAATATCCGACTCGGTAAAGGTCTGGCCGAGTAAAAGTCTAGAAAAGGTTTTTTTAAAAGAAATTTGAAATTTCCACTTAGTATTGAATTTAAGTGTACTGAGTCACCTATGAAAAAAGTAATTTTCGTTTTCAGAATGGGATAATTTCACAAACCTCCTCTGAGGTTCACCTAAATGTCACTTAACATCTCTGTAGTTTTAAAAATCTCTCTTACCTCCCCTATCAGATTGACTAGACAAGATGTCTCCATCATGGGTGGTAAACTGACCACATTACTCTACTAGAAACCCCTAATTGATTAATTAAAATTTGCACAGAAGAAAACGAATTTGGAGAGTAAAAAAATCAAGACACAATTAACAAAACTAATTATAATAACAACTTTTTTTTCCTTGTAGCAATAAAAGACAGAGAATTTCTGACATTACTATTACCTAACACATCAAACAGACATTAGAGGCAAATATAGCTCATTTGGATTTCTTTCATTCTCTGAAATCTTGGTTGTCGCTTTCCTGTTGTAACCATAATATAAATTCTTTATATTAAATGATGTTGGTGAATTATAAGAGCCCCTTTGAATGTTAGAACTTGTTACGATTTGTTACAATATCTTCTACTAATTTCCTCTTTTTGAAATTGCTCATTTTGCGTTAACTTGTATTTCTTATTTTGTTGTCTTGCTGCCTTTATAATCTTAGAGTTGGAGCACTAGTCATTGCAAACTTGTAACACTACTTATATGCTGCAACTTCTCTTTATTGCACTTACTTCACTCGCAATTTGTGTTTTCCCCATTAGGTTTATTTTGGTCTTAAATGCTGCTCTAATATATATAAAAAGGACAACAAATGGGTACAAATGGAAGAAAATCGTTATCTCTCATCTTTTATGAATATTTAAACGCACAAGAGTTGATAATGCTACAAAATATGTCAATCAAGGGGAGGTATAGGAGAGATTTTTGAAACCACAAGAGAGCTAAGTGAAATTAAGGCAAACCTCAGGGGAGGTTTGTCCAATTATCTCTTTTTGAAATGCAAATTAAACCTTTTGACTAGACAATTGCAGGTCTTTCGAAGTCTAAGAAATGAATTCGAGAATTACATTTGTGATGGAGGAAGATCATGATTTTTCCCTCAAAACACCTCCCTACATCCAGTAAAATCAGTAGTGAGATTAGTTTCACTCTTCTAATCTCAATGTCAAAATGAGCTAATTTTACCTGCACAACTAACATGCATTTAATTAACATAAAAAAAATCTACACACATAAAAGTCAAATAAAATAGGGAGATGTTTAATTCCAAAGCTTCTTTTAGAAAAATCATAGATAATGCGCTCTTGACTTACTCAATAATCACATTCCATAACAATAAAAAAAAATAGTACATAACAAAGAAAGGAGAAAAATAAATTACAAAATAAAAAAATAGAAGAATTCTGTGTCCCATGAGGTTACTTCAAGTCAGAAAGAAAATTCAAGTACCTAATTCAATGTAAAGCTGTAAAAAGCAAAACGAAAAGGAAATAAGGGATTTCACCGTGCTTCTCAGGTATATTGTGGTGGTGGTGGTGGCATTCCAGCGGCTTCCACGGCAGCAACTCCGGTGGTCTCAAGTCCTCCTGTGTTCCCCGTTTCTTTTGTTCTGCTTTGTCCCTTTTCTATATACATATATTTCTCTTGACTGAAGTCTTAATGGGCACTTTTCGAAAGAAAACTTAAAAGAGGAAGGAAAAAAAATGGTTGTTGGAAAGGATGACTGGTAGAGTTGAATGCTTCTGATGATGATGAATGAGTGGAGACGATGAAGGGAAAGAAGGACTGCTTGATGAAGATGAATGATGGATGGTTCCCTCATGGAGGGTCGATGATCAATTTCCATTGGGATAATATCAGTCAAAGCCTCCTTTGAGGTTTCTCTTAATATCAGCTGACACCCAAAAGTTTTAAAAATATCACTTACTTCCCTTAGTAATTGTAAAAAAACTATATTAATTTTCACTTGATACATAATTAATTGATATATCAAATAAATGAAACTTAAAATTTTTTTAAAAAAAAAAGAAACAGAAGTCTTTTTTTTTTCTCTTTTCTTTTTCTCCAACATTCTCTCTTATTCATTTTTTGGATGATTATGCAAATTTTTATTTGTAAGTTATAATAAATTGAATTTTGTTTATCTTTAACAAATAATCCAAAAATTATGTATTCAAAATATTACAAAAAATGAACTTTAATACCATAAAATTCTCAACAACTAACCTAAATATATTGACAAGAATATTTATGATGTTAATGTTTGTTTCTCTTTAATATTTTGGGTGTAAATTTTTTTATTATTTATTGTTAATCATGTTTGACAATGGGTATGTAACTGAAAAAAGTAATTTGAATCTTGTATTAAGTGAAAAATATAATATAATATACTATTTTTGATATTATATATGATTTGATCTTTAATAATAAATAACAAATTTTAGTGTTTTTCTTTAATATGTGAATTGATATTAAATTAATTAAATAATGTCATAGATGAGGGGTAATGATAGAATCATATTATCTTTTCTCTTCTAATATTACTTTTTCATTAGCAATTGGGTCTGAATGTTATAAAATAATTAACCTCAAAGAAGATTAGTGTAATTTTTAAAATTTAAAGGGAGGCTAGTGAATAGTCAAAACTTCATGAGAGGTTTCTCAAATTATCCCTTAATAAAAAGTGCTTATCAAATGTTTGAGTGATTTTAAGTATATTGTTTAAATACATAGTTCAATAAATATTTATTATATTAAATAATGTATAATTTAAAAAATTTTAAATATATTTATCTCTTTATTTAGTTAATAATAATTAAATTTAATATTTTATTTTTAAAATACAAAAGATATTTTAAAAGTATCAAATTTGAATTTTTTACTAAAGGTGCTTTTAGCATCAAAAGTTATGCTTCTAATTTTATAAGATGATATTCATCAAAAGTTTTTTTTTAATCAAAAACACCGCACCCTTAAACGAATCTAAAAATACTTTAGCACTTGAACGCTTGGTAAATGCATCGCAATTTTGAATTTTTTTATTATAATAATAATATTTGTATAATTTATTTTAACATAATCTACAAAAAGAAGAGCCAGGAATTTCGTTGGAAATCATAATTAAGTGACAATAATAATTAAGTGTCGAGACATCCTAGCAATACTTAAATGTTTTGATGGTACCAACTGTCCATGAGGTAGATGCCGTCGCAATTCTGAACATCGACCTCAATTTTCTACAGAATACATGATACGTGTCTTTTGTGTGATGGCGCACACATGGGGTAGGTGGATGGGTGCGGCCTGACTCCTGCGCTCTGAGCACATGCCTTTGTGTGGTCCTAAAGCCTAAAGGCACGGACGGACGTGACTCGTAAGTAATTACCGGCAGGGCTATTAAGTTACAACTCGCACCTCAAGGTCCACGGTCCATATTTTTCTAACAAGGTAAATGTTCAAATTCTTAAGTCAATCCAGGTGGGGTGCAAACTGCAAATATGTGGGGGCTAACCGGTCCTTGTCAAGTTGGGACAAGCGGATCCCACACTCAAAAGAGAAAGAGGTTAAATAAGTGGGTCTGTTTGGATTAAGAGGTTTTAAAAAAAAAATTTTTAATTTTGTTTTGCTTGCATCATACACATAATTTTCAATCATCTTTTTATCTCACATACATCACATTACAAAAAGTGTTACAGTAATTATCGCAAATAAATATTTCAAATAATCTTCAATCCAAACAAACCCTATTAATAAATATTTCAAATAATCTTCAATCCAAACAAACCCACGTGTTTAGATAAAAGGTTATTTGGGATAATTTTAGGGATAATTTCCCCTAAGGTTTCTGATAATTTCATTAGCCTCCTCTAAAATTTATAAAATTACACAGACCTCCCCTAAGATTAACGTTTGATAACAAAATTAGTCCGATTAGAAAAAATAACATTAAAAAGGTACTTTAAGGAGAGGGATGAAACTTTTATTCCATAAATATCCTTTATGCATATATATAAATTGTATTAGTAAAAGAATAAAAATAATTAAAAGTTAGAAACAATTGATACACACATTTTTTGTGAAGGAATTAAACAACACATTTCACTATTCAAAAAGTTCACATTTAATAAATTAGATAATAAAAATAAGCAATAAAACTACACTAGTGATCACAATATTCAACAAAACAGAATAGTTATTTCTTTCAACATGATGTTTGCTATGAATCTTGTAATAGAAAAAATTTTCAAATTTTGTCTTTTTTCCCTCCTTCCTCCATTAAGTATATCAATTGATGTTATTTTGTAAATACAAGACATTGTTCATCATTAAAAAAAATTTCAATAGTTATTTTCATTAATTAGTTACTAATAGTTAATTATGTTCTAATTACTTAATCATTAGATATTAGTAAAGGAGAATGGAGGGAAAAGAAATTTCGAAAATTTTTCTGTTCAAAATCACAAGAATCATTGCAAACATCATATCAAAAGAGATGACTAGTTTATTTTGTTAAATCTTATGATCATTAGTGTAGTTTTGTTGTTTATTTGTGTTATTTAATTTATTAAATATGAACTTTTTGAGTAGTGAAATATGTGTATTAATTGTTTTTAACTTTAAATTATTTATATTCTTTTACTAATACAACTTATATACATGCATAAGGGGTATTTATGAAATAAAAATTTCATCTCTCTCCTTAAAGTACTTTTTTAATGTTACTTTTTCTAATTAGACAAATTTTGTTATCAAAACCTTAACCTCATGGGAGGTTTATGTAATTTTGCAAAATTCAGGAGAGGCTAGTAAAATTGTCAGAAACCTCTAGGGAGGTTTATAAAATTATACCATAATTTTATGAAAATAATTTTAACACTTTTTTATGTGATATATATAAATTAAAGAAGTGGTTAAAAAAATTTTATGATATAAGTAGATAAATTTGTGTACATAATTTGCTATTTATACACATATCTTGGCTAAATTAAAAAATGTTAATTGTTAGGTAGGGTGTCAGGAGGATGGAAGCATAAATAAAATTAAGGGAGTTTTTGTTTTAAAACAACCTTGTTTACTAAAGAATTCTCATAATAATACAATTTTAATTCATATTTCCTCTATAACCTATTTGACCCTATAAGACTCTCAGGTCCCGGAATGGCAATAGGGCGAGGTGGGTGGGGTAGGGAGGGGTCCCCCACCCCGCCTCCCCCGTTAGGGCACTCGCAAGGGCTCCTAAAAATTTGTCCTATAATTGTATTGCAATCAAATTTTTGTCAAAATTCAATTACTTAAAATACTAGCACATAACCAAGTCATTATCCATTATAATTTTACAATTAAAACTCATAAAAATAATTAAACAAAATTTATTTAAATACAATCCAACATGACGAGATAAATACAACTAAAGTAGTCAAATTATCACTTTTGAATTTTAAGAATCATCCTGCCAAAACATGCTATTAGTCATCAAGTTTTCAATTTCTTTCTTCAATTACCACTAGGTATTTAATATAAACGTATTAGTAAATTTAGTATAACTAATTAATAATTTCTATTAGTACACATTTATAATTATTAATATTATATATACTAATATACATTTAATATGCTAATATACTAATATATATATACACACATTTAATATACCCATATATATATATTAGTTATATATATATATATATATATAAACACACACATTTAATTTTTCTAACGGGTGGCGGGCCATGGGGCAGGTGCCCGTGCCATCGCTACTCAGGTTTCCTATTTTTCTTCTTATTACCAAAAAAAACTACTAATATTTCCTTCCTTTTTTTCTTTTCCAAAAAAAATACGCATCTCAATAATATTTTTTTCTTGTTAAATTACTTCTACGCATAAATAAATAACTATATCTATTATTCAAAACATTATTAGAATAAGTTAACGTAAGAATTTATCAAAAAAATTATAATGCAAAAGAATATAAGGGAAAAAGATAAGTTAGAAATCAAAACATTAAAATTCTATGGCATATATTTTTGTAATTTTTTTTAAAAATCAAGGGATTAATTACTTGATCAACTAACACATTGAAATTTAAGAAAATATTCCAAGATACCTAAATTCACATGATTATATAGTATGAAGTGCCGTCTTTAGTTTTTTTTAAAAAAAAGAGGAAAATAGATGCCAACAATTTAAAAATTTTGAAAAAAAATTATATATTGATCATACAATAATTAACAGCAAAATGAAAATAATATTTGTTACCTACTAAATTCTTAAAAAATTGAGACTATAGAGTTTGAGATAATTTTTATGATGTATCTCATGTAATGAAAATTTTCACTAGTAGCTAAGGTTGAGATTTTAAGAATTAAAAGTTTTAGATTCAAATTTTCCTATCTCTTCTGCGCTGTTTAAGTTCCAACTCTTCCTTGCTCAAAATAAAATCTAGAAAAAAAAAGGCTTTCACTATAATGCCATGAAAAAAAGAAACAGTAAAGATGGTGAAAATTCAAGATTGTATATTTGTATCAAAAGTCCACGTGGCGCAATAAATACATCAGCATGGATATTTGATTTCATATTATGTTACAATGGGAATAATTTTCGAGAACAGAGTTATTGTGGCCAAAAACTCATGAATGAGGAATCACGTTTGTAAATGGCAGAATGTTTAAGGGTGTTGTAATAGTTCGAAAATGGTGAACAAATAAGGGTTAATTAGCAAACTCACTAAGTTCGTAGTCCATAAGTGCATGCATAAGTCTAAAAAATGTTCCAAGTACTCCACGGCTCTTTTTTTCTTAATGAGATGAGAAAACAACTACAAAATA